ACACTCACTAACCCCCCCTCCCACACACACTCACTACCCCCCCTCCCACACACACTCACTACCCCCCCTCCCACACACACTCACTACCCCCCTCCCACACCCCCCCCCCCCCCCCCCACCCCCCCCCCCACACACACTCACTAACCCCCCCTCCCACACACACTCACTAACCCCCCCTCCCACACACACTCACTAACCCCCTCTCCCACACTCACACTCACTACCCCCCCTCCCACACACACTCACTAACCCCCCCCCCACTACCCCCCCTCCCACACACACTCACTAACCCCCCCTCCCACACACACTCACTACCCCCCCTCCCACACACACTCACTAACCCCCCCCCCCCACACCCCCCCCCCCCCACACCACACCCCCCCCCCCCCCACCACACTCACTAACCCCCCCCCCCACCACACTCACTACCCCCCCCTCCCACACACACTCACTAACCCCCCTCCCCACTACCCCCCCCTCCCACACACACTCACTAACCCCCCCTCCCACACACACTCACTAACCCCCTCCCACACACACTCACTAACCCCCCCCTCCCACACACACTCACTAACCCCCCCCTCCCACACACTCACACTCACTAACCCCCCCCCACACACACTCACTAACCCCCCCTCCCACACACACTCACTAACCCCCCCTCCCACACACACTCACTAACCCCCCCCTCCCACACACACTCACTAACCCCCCCTCCCACACACACTCACTAACCCCCCCCTTCCCACACTCTCACACACACACTCACTAACCCCCCCCCACACACACTCACTAACCCCCCCCCCACACCACCCCCCCCCCCCCCACACCACCCCCCCCCCCCACACACTCACTACCCCCCCCTCCCACACACACTCACTAACCCCCCCTCCCACACACACTCACTAACCCCCCCTCCCCACACACTCACACCCCCCCTCCCACACACACTCACTAACCCCCCCTCCCACACACACTCACTAACCCCCCCCCTCCCACACACACTCACTAATCCCCCCCTCCCACACTCACACTCACTACACTCCCTCCCACACACACACACACTCACATACATCCCCCCCCCCCACACACACACTCACATACACCCCCCCACACACACACACTCACTAACCCCCCCACCAACACACACACTCACTATCAACCCCCACCACACACACACTCACATACATCCCCCCCCCCACACACACACTCACATACATCCCCCCCCACACACACACTCACATACATCCCCCCCCCACACACACACTCACATACACCCCCCACACACACACACTCACTATCAACCCCCACCACACACACACACATTCACATACATCCCCCCACACACACTCCCCCCCCCACACACTCACATACATCCCCCCACACACTGCCCCCCACATACTCACATACATCCCCCCCACACACTGCCCCCCCCCCACACACACACTCACTCTGCCCCCCTCCCCCCCACAGACACACTCACTCTGCCCCCCTCCCCCCCACACCCACACACTGCCCCCCCCCACACACACACACACTCATACACACAGTGCCGCCCCTCACACCCCCCCCCACACCCTCACACACTGCTCCCCCTCCCCCACACACCGGACTGTGTGAGGCGCCGGCAGCCCCTCCTCTGTGAACCTGACACCCCAACCAAACCCGCAGCCCGGATCCGCGCGGGGAAATAAGGGAAGTGACTCGGGAGGGAGGCAGGGAGGGAGGGAGGGGGGAGAGAGGACGTACCGGTCGGTCCTGGCCGTGGCCGCTGTATGTCCAGCCCAGGATGGCGGGTGGTGCTGCCTCCGCTCCCAGTGAGACGCCGGGTCCCGCGGAGGTCCGGCAAGGCGTGTACTTCCCCTCTCAATATCAATCCTCCCGCTTTTTCACCCTTTTATCCGACGTCGTCCAAACGCACTCGGGAGCAGTTTGTCCGCCGCGCATCCGACGAACGCGGTCACGCGAGTCTTCCTGCTGTTCGCTGTGTGTTTTCTCCCCCCCCCCCCACCGCGAAAAAAAGAGAGGCTGAGAATCGAACGTCGCGTTGGGGGCCACTCACCTGCCAGGACCTGGCGCGGGGCATTGCGGGATACTGGAGGAGCAGCCCGGGAGGACCAGGCGGGCCGGGAACCATGGCGACGGCGACGCTGCCGGCGCTGCTGCTGTCTCTGCTCTCAAACCTGGGCGGCGCGGGCGGCCAGGTCTCGCCCGTGCGGTTCGTGCAGGTCAGCAATTGCACCGAGAGGCAGTATTTCGACATCTCCAGCCTCTGGTGTCGGCCGTGCGCCGCCAAGGGACGGCGGAGCAGTGACGGTGGGTGTCAGGGCCCCGGCCCGCGCTGACAGCCCCCGCGGGGGCTCGCGGTGGTTCCGCCTTTTTTTTTACACACACACATCAACTCGGGCGACCTTCACTGGCGTAGCAAAAGCTCTTCGAAACCCCTCTTTTATGAGTGCTCACCATCCGCGAGAGCAACTAACGTGTGTGTGTGTGTGTGTGTGTCGGTGTGTGTGGATATGTCTGTGTGATTTTATATATGTATATATATGTGTGTGTGTGAAGGGAGACATCAAACCAAGAAACGTCAGCAATGTCAGGGCAGGAGGTTAAATCAACACCAGAATCACAACGATTGGTTACGTTTCGGGTGAGAATCTCCCATCAGAGCAAGAGAAAAAGACATCCTGACCTTGACATAAAGGGGGATTAAACTTTTAATACTATAATCCATTTACTGGTCGCCACTTTATAATAATAACCTTGCATTTGATGCAGTGTCCTTTCGCGTCGGGCAGATGTCCCCAAAAATGCTTCATGGAATTTACTGTAAAATATTGTGACTGCATTTTGTAAACAAAACGTTATGGTTAACGATTTGGGCGTAATCCGGTTTTTTTTTTAGGAGAGAAGCTGTTCTGCCCCTAACGTAAAGAGGGATTACATTTTCTGGCTTCATTGCTTGAAAATCACCCTCCTGGAAATGATGTGGAGTCCTGTAGCTCAGTGGTTAGAGCACTCGCTTTGCAAGCGAGAGACCTGAGTACAATTCCAGGCAGAGGGCGAAACCTTGGGCAAGTTTCCTTACTCCACACAGAGCCTAATAATAATCCCTACAAAACCAAAAAACAATAATAAATTGGTCATTTTCAATCCACGACTGTTTGTGGGACATTGCTGTGCGCAATTGGCTGCCGCGTTCGCCCACAAATATACAGTCAATTCACTTTACAGTATATTCTGTGAAGCGTTTTGGGACGTCCTCCCGACGTGAAAAGAGCTATATCAAATGCAAGGATTATTATTATTATGTGACATCGCTCTCACGGGGAACTGTTGCCAGATTCACAGAACTCCACCCCATCAAATGAATCCCTTTTATATTTATAGTGTTATTGCAGAGCCAGGGATATGTTTCGCCCACAAATATACAGTCAATTCATTTTACAGTATATTCTGTGAAGCGCTTTGAGACGTCGAGAAGACGTGAAAAGCGCTATATCAAATGCAAGGATTATTATTATTATTTATTATTTGTATGTCTGGTTCTCCAATCATATTAAAAAAAACCTGTAAACATAAACTTTTTGACTGTGGTCATTTTTTAAAAACAAGTTTAAAGTACTTTAATTCCCCTTTCCCTTCACACATGTACATAACTTGCCAGATTCACAGATTCACAAAATAACTTTTTTCATGTAAGAAAGCAGCCTGCTGAAGACTCGTGAATCTATAAGACTCAAATCAGATTTTGAATAAATTCCACTTATTTGATACTCGTCCCATATTCCTCAATCCCTCTCACCAGAAATAAAATGTAGTTAACTCTTTGAAACCCTGGTCCTGGCATCATAATGGCCTTTCATAGTAAGCTATTCCCCTCCTCTATTACCCTTAAGGTAGAAGTTTTGTCTGACTTCCTGTAGATTTAACTCCCTAATTTGAGTATTTGAGCCCTCAGTGATGGTGAACAAAAAGGATGGTTTCCTGCACACTACATATTTGTTTAATGGAATCTGACTGGTATACCCTGGAAACCAGGTGATCTGTATTAAAAACAAACTTACAAACTTGCACCCTTTTTTTTTGTCAGCCGGGTGTCTGACACATGCCGGAACCTATTACCATTATTACCAAGAGTTTCCAAACCAAACTGAGATTTCCATGGGTCCCACTTACACATGGAAATGCCAGAGCTAGATTGTTGGAATGGAATGCGCACATGATTAAGCTTAATAATAACGTGATGCTCTGTATTACTTTTTGCTTAACTTGAAATGGTATATGTTCTTCTTTAGGAATGTCATGTTCCTGTCTGCCAGGATACCGACAGAAGTTCAGTTTCGTTCATTCCTCCAAATCATGCCAAAAATGCCCACAAACTAGTCCGGTAAGTAAATTGCTATAATATATTTCTTATTAGACACCTGCTATTAAGTAAGTAAAATACTAATGCGGATCTATTTCCTAATGCAATAACACAATAAATGTAAAGTGGAATTAAACTGGTAACTACAAAGCAATTGATAGTATAAAAAAATTCCCCTCCAATACTTGAAATACCTTTACGCATTTGAATGTTTAACATCTGTCACAAGCGTTTAGTCCTTCTTATTCTGAACTCTAATCAGTTTTGGGTTTGAGTTTACTGTATGCATACACTAGCAGTTCATAATTGCTCCTGATTAAATGTAGTGTTTGTGTAAAGGACATTAAATACAATTAATGGTATTGCAACTATTTTGTTTGCATTCCTATCTCACTATAATTGAGCACTTTAAGTTTAAGCTATTCTACCTCTAGTGCATTACCAGTGATTGAATATTGGGAGAATATCATAGCATGTACAAGAATTTCCTTTCCTTCCAACTTCCCCATGATAAAGAGGAGATACCGAGAGACAACAGATGCAATTTAAAACTGGATCTATAATAACAAATATCTGTTGTGTATGAATGTGGTATCTTTTTTCTCCCCTTCCTTCCCAGCTAGTTCTGGTGGTTACTCATCATTCTCCCATTGATAAAATAGAAAAGATGGGAACTATGTGTACTTTCTTCAAGCATCTACAGAGGAACCCCATTTTAGTTCCCTTCAGCATAGTGCTGCTTCACATTTTGACTGCTCTGTGGAAATGTGGTACACCCAGCTTCTGAGTGCCGACTAGTTACCTTTACCTATTAAAATTGATCAACTTCAGGGTCATCAGGCGCCATAAGTGGCAATCTGAACCTAATGTACCTGTATGCTAATATACAGAAAGCACTAATGGCATCACTTTGTGAAGGCAGTTACATCATTTGCAGTTCTTGCTCAAGGGTTGTACACAGAAAGCGACTCTGAGTATGTGTCCTGCACATGTGGGCAACACACTGACTTCAGCAGAAACCTGCTGATCAGGGTTTCCTGCTCTGGTTAGATGTATTCCAGAAGTTTCATCAGATGACATAATGTGATAAAGGATTGCGTTATTCCAAAACAAATTCACTACTGAGCAATGCAAAAATCATCTATCTAGAAAAATGGTTCCGTTCCTTTTGAAAAAAACGCGATGATTGTTTGTGAGCTGAGCTAATATTTGGTCGCTATCATAAAGTGAGATAGTACTGATTTTACGGCAGTTAGGTAACCGAAGTTGTAGCACCTGTAGATCAGTATGATGGTTGAGAGAGGGCAAGTCCACATTGCCTTGACATTTCAAACACTAACTGGATTGCAGAACCGACCAGCTGAGAACTGGATAAATCTGATTCACCATTCAATCTTCATTTTGAGAATTCCCTATGATTGTTCTCCCTGGTCACTCACAGGATTGTCCCGGAGATAATCTTTATTCCTGGAGACTCCAGGATAGTCCTATTTGGAAGTCAGCTACTCTGCAACCACTAAGATATTGGACCTAGCCAACCACATTATAATGGGATTTCCCTGTATAACGTTCTGAAGCCAGATGCTTTCATTTAGCCACTGTTATCAGTGGAGCTTCAGAGATGTAGACAGTGGATATACAGTATTAATCTTATTATTGTAGTGGTTAAAGTCTTATAGCATATTTCTCTCCTTCTTGCAGCAAGCCTTCGTTAAAAAAAGTTAAGACTTTCATTTCTTATTTAGTGTCCCAAAATAAATGTTCAATTTCAAAAGTTTGACAGTAAATTACTATTTGAAGACTTTAACATTTTCAACTCTAGAGAAGATCATACAATGGTATGAGTATTTTCTGATTTTACTTTTAAATCTTAAAAGCAAACTGTATTATTAATTAAGTTTTGCTGTGATTATTACATATTATACCTTTCTTTTCTTTGAGTATAACTTTTAACCACTTGCTTACCATCATCTATTTTTGAAGGCAGTAACTCAGGATGGATGGAACTGCATTAACTGTCCTTCAGATGCCACTATAAATATTGATGGGAAATGTCAGTGCTCAACAGGACGTATTTTGGGTATGCATTGCACACTGGTGCTGTGAGTATAAGATGCTTTGCAGAAATGCTAATATGTGAAGCTATAGTCAAATAAAGTCTGTTTAAAAAAATCTGAATATTTGTTGTAAAGGTGAAGGTAGCAATGAAAATTTGAATATGTTGTACCAGTATCAGTGTTGAGCTCTTACGTGTTCATAGATTAGATTCAGTGTAAAGTTATTTCTATCTGTGCCCCTCAACTGAACCATCGTGCATTTTCTATTTTCTATATCAGCCATCCTTCTGACGGGTGAGATAATCAATTTGTGTCAAATTATGGACAATAACATCCCACCTCGTCGATCTCCACAGTTCCAGTACCCACAAACTACAACCAATTCACAACTCTGCCACCCTTATTCTCACCCACACTAAACTCCGTACCCCCATCACACCAGTCCTCACCAGGCTCCACTGGCTCCCAATCACAGAACGGATTAATTTTGAGATCCTCTCACTCGTCTATAAATTCCTGCATCTCCCTGCCATTCTAACCTCCTTTCTACCCACTTCACTACTCCTTGCCTCCGGCTCTGGCTCTGGCCTCCTGCTTGTCCCTCGTCCCCTTTGCTCTACCATCAGCAGCCACATTACGCCCTGAAGCTTTGGAGCTCCTCCCTCATTCCCTTCGACTTGCTCCTTCTTCCATTCTTTTAGATCATGACTGAAGACCTTCCTCTTCCTCCTCCCTCTCCTCGGCTCAGTGTCAGGCTCCACCACTGTTAAGTGCCCCCGCATGAAGGGCAATATATAAATGCAAGTTGCTGTTGTTGGTACTGAGCTGTCGGAATAGATGATTCTCAAAATTTCTAACTCAAAAGATTGTCTCAATTTTTTTTTGATAATCTGTGTTTTCCTTACTTAAGTGGAAAGGACTATTAATGGCGAACTATTGAAAGAAGCTTTGTGTGAGGTCTGCAACAGTACTCGCCCCTCCTTGTCTGTTCCAAACTTTGCAGGGGACCGGTAAGGAATTAATACAATGGTTAGTACTTGCATATAAATGTCTAGCCCCCTCCCTCCCCACCTTCAGATCCTGCCTAAAGACCTTCCTTTTTGATCGTACGTACGGTCATCTCCCCCCTCTCTCTCCCCCTGGCTCGTTGTCAGTCTCCGCCACAATCAAGCGCTCCGGGGCATTACCCGCTCATGAAGGGCACTATATAAACGCAAATTGTTGTTACAATACAATACAAAGTTACATTCGTATAGCGCATTTCACGTCAGGAGAACGTCGCAAGGTCCAGGACAATCAGGGATTTGGACCTGAGTTGGGGGTCGGAATCGGGAAGGACGCAGGATAGGAGGGTGGCCGAAGGCTTGGACGAAAAGGAGGGTTTTGAGATGCATCCTGAATAAGGCAAGAGAGGGAGGCGAATATGAGATGGAGTTCCATAGGGTGGGGGCAGAAAGGCTGAAGGCCCGATCGCCAATGGTGGGGCGGGCCGGGTGGGGGACGTGGAGTTGTTATGTACAACTCCAACTCCTTTTCAAATTTAGTAGTAACCAGCATTATGGACCTTGGTATTCATTCAAGTTTTCTCAATAAAAAGCGAATAGTTTGAGGGGTCCAGTCATTCTACAATGAATTCTGAATGATTCTTTTTGGCACTTCTATAAGTTGTCTGATGTTCAACAATTGCCTTGTCTAAACTTGACTATCCTAAGCAACCTTGAATGTTCTTTGCTGTTTCTTTAATGTAGAGAAATGCAAAGTGCTTTACATAGGGACAAAAAATCCAGGAAGGGACTATTATTTAAATGCTAAAAAAAAATTGTACGGTAAATGAAAAGGACCTGGGAATCCTGATTGATAATAAATTGAAACTATCCCAACAGTGCTCGGTAGTAGTGAGTAAGGCAAACCAGATGGTAGGCTGTATTAAAAAAGAAATATTGATCCGAAATAGTGGGGTAATCCTGCCAATTTATAAATCACTGGTGCGACTGCACTTGGAATATTGTGTGCAGTTCTGGTCAATGCAATATGAAAAGGATATTGCAGTGATTGAGAGGATGTAGAGGAGGGCAACCAAAATGATTGAGGGGATGGAGGGACTGGACTACAAGGGGCAATTAGATAAACTGGGCATGTTCATACTGGAGAAGAGAAGGTTGAGGGGCGATATGATTGTAATCTTTAAGATTCTGAAGGGACAAGATAATGTAAACCGTGATAAGCTGTTTTGTCTTGTACTGAACAGTAGAAGCCGAGGACAAAGCCTGTGATTGAAGGGGGGTAAATTCAAAACAAATCTGCGGAAACACTACTTCAGTGAGTGAGTAGTAAACTCATGGAACAGGCTCCCTTGGGAAACAGCAGAAGCAGAAAATGTCATTTGTTTCAAGAACAAATTAGATGGATTTCTGCTAGAAAATAATATCTCAGAATACAATATATAGTTTGGGATATGACATGTCATGCAATAGTGGAAGGCGAACTAGCGAGACACCTGGGTTCAATTCCAGGCAGGTCAAAACCTCGGGCAAGTTTCCTTACTCCACACGCCTAATAATAATCCCTCCAAAACAAAACAATAATAAATTGGTCATTTTCAATCCACGACTGTTTGTGGGACATTGCTGTGCACAATTGGCTGCCGCGTTTCGCCCACAAATATGCAGTCAATCACTTTACAGCATATTCTGTGAAGCGCTTTGAGACGTCTAGAAGACGTGAAAAGCGCTATATCAAATGCAAGGATTATTATTATTATAGGCGGACCTCGGTCTTCTTTCGCCTAGCAAATTCTTATATTCTTATGTTCTTATGTGTGTATTTAGCTTTAAAATCTCATCATTGAATTTTCCATCAGATGTGTCAGCTGTCAAGAAGCATTTATCAATGTAAAACAATCTTGTGATTGCCAGAAATACCTTTTGGTAAGTGAAAATTATTATAAGATTTCATGAATGCCTTTACTATTGTAAACTTGCTTTCTTAGTCTTCCTTTTCCTGTGTATTCATGTAGTGTCTCAGATAGATTAAAATTTACATGCTGTTTGTTAACAACAATTTACTTTTATGTTATGCCTTTCACGTTTGGAGGGCATTTCAAAGCGGTTGATATAACTGACTGGGAGATTGGTCAAATCTGATTTTTAAGGCTGGTAGTGGGGGTGGGGGCGGTGGGGTTGGCAAAGTGAAGAGACTTTGGGATAGAGTTCCAGAGATCTGGGGAGGATTAGGTAGCTAAAGACATACACTGATGGTGGGACAGTGTGTAAGTAGGTGAAGGAGGTCAGTCCTTGCTGAGCAACAGGGGAGATAGGGATGCTGGAGATTGCAGAGGCATGGTAGAGCGAGGCCGTCAAGGCATTTGAAAGTAAGAATGAGAATCTCAAATTCAATCTGGTGACGAGCCAAAAGAACTGAGCAAGGATGGGAATGATGGACTTGTGGAGCCTGGTGTGGGGGAGGACACAAGCTGTAGGGTCCTGGACGGTGTGTGACATGTGTAGGGAGGATCTGGTGAGTCCGGTGAGCAAGGTGTTGGAGTAGTTGAACCTGGAGATGACAAAGGCATGGGTAAGGGTCTCAGCAGCTTAAGCGAGAGAGATTGCAAGTACACTTGTATAATAATATCTTGTACATTTGCACTAGAAGGGAAATTTGAATATGTAGTCTGAAAATTATAACATTAAAATGTAGCTGTATTGACAGATACATACAATAATATGTAAAGATGAAGTTTGAGTACAGTAGTAAATAATAAGATTGAGTAAAACTGAGAGAACAATCTACTGTGTACAACAATATGTTGATCTAATTCTATAATTTTTCTAGGTAGGAGGGCTGTGTTTTCCTACTGATACTGACGGCTTGCCCACTTCTGTTTTTACCATTATTAATTATGCACATGTAAGTAATGTAGCATGTCTGTTTCGTAGTTCGCAAAAAAATGGATAATTTATTTAAGATCAGTTTTTTTTGTTCTCCGGTACTCCGTTAAGTTTTCTGTTTTACTACTAATGATTGTTCTGTGTAAACAACACTGTTGTGAAATAAATAAAGCAGAGCATTTTCCTTCAGGAGTGGTTTTAACACATGAGGCAGTAAGAACACAAACTTTGAATTTTTATCCCAGTGAGATTAAAATGACTTTGATCAATAAGAACCAATGACTCCATGTATAAAGCAGTCATGCAGAATTCTTCCCAGAGGAACACGCCCTAATCATCATTAACAGTACCTTGGAATACCATGTTTGGCTCAGGTACCTGATTACTAAGACAACCAGAGGATCAACTAGATTCGTACCTTCTATTGCTAGATTGGCAGACCTATCACTTTGCAACCAAGTCAGCCCCAAAGAGACCCTGTTTACCTCCCCAATCCGAGCAGAGTCACTAGTTAGTTATTAGATATCAGGATAAATATTTTGAGTCCCACTAGATGGATAATATGTACCAGTATCTCCTTGCAAATAGCACGGTGAGAACTCAACTCTGATTAATGACATAATTAAGGAAATCTTTCATTTGCTCTGTACACATGTGTTTACACAAAACTGCGTTTAAGCATAGAGCATAATGGACTTCCATTGTTTTGGTTAAAGAGGTGTAACTGAAAGTAGTTTTGTAAAACAGTGAAAGCAGCAAGTCCATGAGAAATTGCTTTGCTCTTGATAGTGAAACCTTTCATCACAATGGTTTAAATTTCACTCTATTCTCAAAAAATAGCTTTTTTTTCAACAAATAAAAATTGTTACACTGGGGTCTTGTTAGGCTGTGTCCAGTCACACAATTGTTCTTTTTTCTTGGAATTTCTCATTATGAAGAGAATATTTCCCATTTTAGCTGGCATTACTCATTACTCACTTTAGCCTTTTTTTTAGCTGTAAACGTAAGAATACAATCGTGTATATATTGAAGAGGTGGGAAACAAAAAATCCTGATTTGGGATTTTTTTTAGAATACAGTGGAATTCTATTAATTGAATACTCAATTTGACAGCGAAAATTATTCAATAAATCTAACTATTTTGAGAACCGGACTAAACGTAAGAGGAGACTCATCTCCCGGAGTTCGAGCCATGTGGCCTCCAACTGCACTGGAATCAGAAATTGATCGCCAGCGACCTCTCTGGGAGTGAGATGAAGGGAGGAGAGGACGCTGGTGCCCCTTCACGCTGGACTGTAGGACTGTAGTAGGTAGTGATGTGTTTATCTGGTGTTGAATTAATTGATTTTCATAGGAATGGTCACAGGGAAAATTATTCAATAAATTAAATTATTCGTATATCCAGTATTCAATTAACCTATCTATATTCATAGATTAGTCGTGCATATGGTTTGGGATTTCTAAATTCAATTCAATAAACTGAACTATTCAATTACCCGATATTCAATGAATTGAATTTTACTGGATTATATTTGAAATGTCCTTAATCATTAATTAATAAATTAATTTATTTGTGTAACTTTTAATTCATTTGCTTGAAAGTAGGAAGCGGTATGTATTGAGACTAAAGAAATATTTGTTTCCACAGGGTTTAAAAGTGGCTTCTGCTTGGTTAGGTGTGCATTTAAGAGCAGCAGCTAAAGCTTGTTTGGTAAGTTGTAGCTTTCTAAGAGTTCTGAGTTTAACATTCTGAGTTAAATATAAGCTGATTGTGATTGAACAAATGTTTAAAATTCCATAATAAAATATATTTTCATAAACAAAATTATGACGATCTTTCTGGAAAATTCTGACAAGGTAGAAGATGATTTGTATTTTTTAACGAGTGTATTGAGTTTTTTGAAAAACTAGGGTGAACATTTCTTAATGTCATTACCTTAACTAGTTGGTGCACTGAAATTTGTCATACCCTCCTCCATTAGCACCCACAATAACAACATGCCTGGAGGACATCTCAAAGCTTTACACACGATTGTCTAGGATTGGGGGGAGCTGAAGATGTGCAGGGAGCTGAGGAGTGTAGCATTGTTTGCACATTTAGTGACTTGATAATTTTACCTCCTAGATTTTATTACCTCAGATATCTTAATTTTTCATGTATCAGCACTGTTATTTTAGCTCAATGGTTCCATTTGTGTTTACAGCAATTTGCAAATCTAACTGCTTGCCAGGCACTAGGTAATATGTGTGTTATGAACATGAATTCCATGAACCTTGCAACAGTGCCCAATGATGCTTGTGGACTTTATCAAACCATACATAGATTGACGGGGAACCTTGGAATTGTGCATTCAGCGCCCAACTGGTAAGTTTTAAGAACTTGTTGGCTGATAACAAGTCTGAATTCCTACCTTAATCGTGTTAAGCAAATTACTTGGACTTTTTATAGACTGCAACCCAGTGCAATAAATACTGATTCAGTTGAAACTTTCTGAAGAGAATTCAGCAGAGAGTTGAGGGATGTGCATTTGGGATATTAAAAATAGTTATGTCAAGAGCTGAATGGGATAAAAATGTTTTCTTGATTCCTTATTTTAATGTTATTTAATATATTATCAATCATACTTTATTATCAGAATTTGCTGCACATTTATTCTGTTTTTAGGCGAAAGAATCTTCCCTGGTTGTACTATGACAGCCGACATGGTTATGCAAGAATTCTTGAAAGTGAACCATTTGCAACTAGTTTCCATTTTAAGAAATCCTCCAAAGTAAGTATATCACTGTAACACTTATAGTCCTTGCATTTGTTACAGTGCCTATAACCTCAAAACAACTCAAACCATTTCATAGGTAATCACACATAATTTTTGTTCATATAGTGATTTTATTTGTAGCCAAACACAGCAGCCAAGGTGCGCACAGTGGGGTTCATAAATAGCCATAGAGTAAATGACTCAGTTACTGGTCTCATCCAATCTCACGCAGTAATGGACTGCACCTTCGACACTGCAGGGCTCCCTAGCACTGCACTGGTTTTCAACATACATTATGATTTCATGTCGCTACAGAGAGCTTGAACACATATCTCTTGACCCAGAAAAGAAAGTGTTGCCACCTGACCCAAAATCTCAGCAATGAACTGACAAAAAAGGTGAAATACAATTATTTTTACCCCCCACAATTTTTTCTCCTTTGGACATCTATATGAAATTTTGCTCATATTAATTGGACTAAAATAAACTTACACTTGCATTTGATTTAGATTTGTATTGCACTTATTTGCCATCATAAAAGTTGGTAAGGAGGCTTATTATTATTATTATTATAACAAAATGTTCTTCGTGGAAGACATTCCTCATTAAGCGATTTTTAAAAAATATTGTATTGCCTTTAATTAGTAGTGTTTTGGGCTGCCAGTGGACATAATACACGTTTGATTTATGAGTTTATGAATGCTGGGCAAAAATTCAACCTGGGTCTAGACTTACTCAATTAATATTTCAGATGGTCCAGAATTTGGCAAATTGTTGAGTTCAGTTTTAACTTTGAAACTTTTTTTTAGTTCTGAAAAGAACTTACAGAAAACTAGCTTCAAAATGAAAGTTAATTTCTGATTTTTGCCAAATTCTGCACGCTCTGGAATGCTCTATAATAGAGTAAATTTAGATCTAGGTGGAATTTCTACCCCCATGAATTATACCTGCATATTGTTAGCTTCATGGAAATACTCATTGCACCCTTAAACTGAAAACTAGTAAATCTTTCAAGTAGTTTGAAATAAATACATTACCATCGATCCATCGGCAGATCTAGCTGGACCTTATCAAATCTTACTGCTCCGCCCTCGCCTCTGCAAATCATCGTTCTATTCCAGGATAATTTTGGAGGCCAAGGACAACCCCAGGCTCCTCTTCTCCATCACCAACCAGTTTCTCCACCCATTCTCTCATGCTTCACCAATCCTCATCTCCAATGCCAACTGCGAGGCGATGCTGGACTTCCTTGAATCCAAAGTTGAGCGGATCCCCGAGGAATTTCCCCATTTCCCATTCACACTCAGCCCCTACCCATCCCTCTCTCCACACGTTCAAACCTGTCTCCTTCTCCTCCCTCACCATCACTTTAACCCGTATGAAACCGACCACTTGCTGGCCCATCCCTACCCCTCTTCGTACCTCCCAGCTCCACCTCCTTGCTCTCTACTCACAGACATTATAAACCTCCCCCTGTACACTTGCACCATTCCCACCCCTTTAAAAATGGCTGTCATCAATCCTATCCTTAAAAATCCCTCCTTGGACCCATTCCTGATCTCAAATTACTGCCCCATCTCCAACCTCCCTTTCTTTTCCAAGGTCCTGGACTGAGTCGTTGCTTCCCAGTTTTCTCCTTCCTCTCCCGCCACTCCCTTTGCAAACCCCTCCAATCAGGTTGCTGTGCCACCCACAACACAGAAACAGCTCCGGTCAAAGTGACAAATGACACTCTGTCCATCTGCGACCAGGGCTCCCTCTACCTCCTAGTCCTCCTTGACCCCTCTGCTGCATTCGACACCGTCAACCACTCAACAACAACAACAACAAGATTGCATTTATAGAGCGCGTTTCATGTCGGGAGGACGTCCGAAGGCACTGGACAGTTGGGTCGGGATCCGAGTAGGGGAGAAATGGTCAGGGTGAGGGGAGGGAAGGGAGGGAGCGAGGAGGGGGTAGAGAGTCGAGAGGGGAGCTGAAGGCACGGTTGAAGAAAAAACTCAGTCCTCACCTACCGCCTCTTCTCTCACCTCAACCTTCATGGTTTTGTCCTTGAATGATTCAGATCGTACCTCTCACACCACCTCCACTTCATCTCCACAAATAGTTTCGCTTCTAGCGCCCACACCATCATGTACGGCATTCCTCAGGGTTCTTTCTTTGGTCCCCTCCTCTTCAATATCTTTATGCTCCCTTTTGGTGACATCATCCGCAGACATGGGGTCAACTTCCACATGTATGCGAATGACACCCAACTGTACCTCTCTACCTCCACCCTTGACTCCAGGACCACTGCTGTCCTGACAGAATGTTTGTCAGACATCAAGTCCTGGATGAGAGATAACTTTCTTCAGTTGAACATCAACAAGACTGAGGCCCTCCTGATTGGTTCCTGTGAGCACCTCCACCTCTCAGGTGCTGACAGCATCACCATCCAAGGAGGCACACTCCAATTTACTAAACCAGTCTGGAAACCTGGCATCTTGTTTGACCGTCAACTATCCTTTCTACCCCACATTCATTCCATGACCTCTGCCTTTCCCCAACCTCCGCAACATCATCCAGCTCCACCACTGTCTCACACCTCAGGCCGCCAAAACTCTCATACATGCATTCATAACATCCAGCCTTGACTACGCAAACTCCCTGCTTCTCGGCCTCCCCAACTCCTCCCTCCCTCCATAGACTGCAGGTCATCCAGAACTCTGCAGTGGCAATGTCCTCTCCTGCACCAGGCTCCGTGAACCTATCACCCCCATCCTTGACCAACTCCACTGGCTTCCCATCACAGAGTGTACAGTTCAAGATCCTTGTCCTCACCTTCAAAGCCCTCCATAGCCTCACTTCCCCCTAAGTCTGCGCCCTCCTAACCCCCTAACATCCTGCTCGCTCCTTCCACTCTGCGTGCTCCGGCCTGCTTCACATCCCCAGCTTCGCCACCCCACCATTGGCGGGCTTGCCTTCAGCCATTCAGCCCCCACCCTCTGGAGTTCCATCCTGCAGTCCCTCCGCCTCGCCCCCTCCCTTGCCTCCTTCAAGACCCATCTCAAGACACTCCTCTTAGACCGTGCTTTTGATTACCCTCCTATCCCTCTGCCCGCCACCTTCCCCAATCCTGATGCCCAGCTCGGGTCCGAAACATTGACTGTCCAGCACCTTGGGACATCCACCTGACGTGAAAGGCACTATACAAATGTAATTTTGTTGTTGTTGTACCATGATTGGGGTCTCTTTTTTATTGATCTTTGAAAATGTCTTTTTTCTTTTTATAGAATATGAAACTGCGTTTCATTATTGCCAAATATGATGCACGAGGACATTTTCTTAATTGGGAAAATGTAGTTGGAGGTACCTTACAGGTAAACTTTAATTAAAAAATTTAGCAACTACAGCGCAGCCATGACTGGAAGCGAATTAAATTTTAAAGCGTAGTGGACCTCAGTGACTGCGTATTTGCATAGTTAGACGCCTTTTCAAACTAAAATGGCTGTCTAATGGGTCTCTTTCAGCATCACCTCCTGTTCACTGTGCATGTGCAAAGCAATGACAATGTCCCTTAAGTTTGCCAATTTAACTTCCTCTTTTAAAAAAAATGGACTTTCGGGTTGACAAGTTGGCACCAATGACACTTCCTGCTTTGCACATTCACAGCAAATAGGAAAGGACTTTGTCAGAGACTCAATGACCCAAATGTCTGCCATTTTTAACATTTCATCAAGGGAAGCCACCAATGCCTAAGGAGTGAGTTGACTCGCTCCACTATATATCAATATAACTTAAACTTTTTTCTTTTTATAAAATATTCATAACATGAAATAGAAATTAGATCATAAATTAAATATTTTTACTTTACATTAATCTGGACATAAAATCTGCAAGTAACTATTATTAAAATACTCAGACATGCATTTCTTTTCTTCAAGTGCTTTATTGAAACTTATTAAGAAACTAGGATAAAGGTCCAATTATTGGTTTGAAATTCATTTAAATTTGTAAATTTAAATTAAAACTTAATCTTGGATTTTTTGTTTTGAATTAACTAATCATTTTAAAATAAAGTTGTTTTCCTAAATGTGTACTAAAAAAATCACAAATGCTTCTATATTCACCACAGCATGTTTGCATGAGAAACAATATTAAACTGAAAAAGTATATCTGTATTTCAGTAATGTTTACTTACCAATTTGACATAGATTATAAATAATAATTCTTGTATTTGATATAATGCTTTATTACAATGTCGAAACGTATCAAACTGCTCTACAGGAATGACTGTAAAATGTAGTAACTGCATAATTGTAGGTGACTGAGGAAGTAATTTGAGCAAAGCAATGTTTCAAAAACAGCCATGAAGTGAATGACTTATGTTACCTGAGGATTGATGGTCAGGACACCAGGAGAAACTCGTTTTTCTTTCAAATAGTGCCAAGGGAACTTGAAAGTCCACCTGAAGAAGCAGACAGAACTTTACAATGTTTCGCCAATATACTATGTTGCAGTGTCAACCTAGACAAGCAGCTTGAAGTGTCGACGTAGGATTTGAACCCACAGCATTCTGACTCAGAAACAAGAGTGCTACCAACTAGCCAAGCTGACATCTAGACATACAGTATATGTAATTAATATCTTAGGCTTATCTGTACATTATCAACCTAATGTATGCTTTGTCATTAATTTGTGTCTTGTTCTTGCAGTTGTGCCCTGATACCACGAGTAGGCTGAATACTGCTTATAACTTTGGAAGTACCTATCATCAAAGTGTAAGTGAAACAAATTTTGATTAATCAATGTTCTCTTGCAGGAATAGAAGACAAATCTGTTTTAACACTGGCCTACAAATTGAAGAGTTTATTCTTTGCAAAAGAAGTCTATGTAATAATAACAATAACAAATTACATTTGTTTAGTGCCTTTCAGTCGGGAGGATGTGCCAAAGCACTGGACTGTGAATAATAATAGAATAATAAAATGAATGGCTATTGTGAGTTATAGGTATCTGCTGAACTTTTCATAGTCTGAAACAGACTTAAAATTGGGGGTGGCTTCATTGTAGATAAGGAAATAGTGTGTTAATTACCAAAATAATGATAATAATCCTTGTATTTGATATAGTGCTTTATCAAGTCGTCGAGACGTCTGTTTCACATGACATACTGTAAAATGGATTGACTGTAATTGGTTATCTATCAAAATATAAATTGGTTACAGTGTTAACCCAAAGCATTTTATATTTGGATTTTTACTGTCAGTATAAATCTACACTATACCAACTGTGCCATACTCTCTCTTTATTTCCTTCTATCTCTCTGTCTGAACAAAACACTGCTCTTGGCTTACATTGCACTATGTGGCTAAGTCACATGCCTAATAAAATCGTGCATGTGTGCAACTTCAGTATGGGCACAACAGAATATTTTTTCCCTGTGTCTGATCATGACAGCAGCCCACTGCCACATCAGAGCCCAATGCAGATAAGCAGACATGCAAATTCTATTATAGGTCATCATTTCAGGCATGATTTCAAAGTGGTACACTTTGCCTCCCCCAGTTTAAAAGCATCATTACATACTGAGTGAAAGAAAGGATTTTACTTTCACTCTAGGAAAATCAATATTTTTGAACTAGAATGTCTGCACGAAATTCTCTATTAGGTATGCCTAATGTATTTAAAGCTATTTGGAATAGAACACAAGATGTTGTCATAAACTAGAAGTACTGTGCAGTAAAATGTTTAAATTTTGATGCACTGTATGACTTTATTAAAAAATGGACCCACCCAGTACTGTTTGGACTGCTAATGAATATACTCATTCAGCAGTCACCTTCTGCAATTGTGTCAGTGTTGTGAGTCTCGACTTTCAATTGGAGGGAAAATATCCTTTAAAGTTGGCTTAAAGTTAGAAATCAAAGCCCAGTTTTATGAGTCGATCTCCAAAATAGGGAGTCAGAAGGGAAAAGGAAAGAATGTAAGTAAAATAATTGAGATGTTAAAATTGTTTTCTGAGTGGAAGAAGTTCAGATATTTTTTCAAGAAAACAGAACTTACAAATGTAAAATTAAGAAAATGAAAAGAATATAGTGGAATAAATGAGGAATTGTGTAAGCAGAATGTTTTAAAATTGTTTTTAATTTAAGCAATTTAGTTTATTAGCTAGTTAATGGTTACAATTACTGGAGGTTGGATAAGTATTCCTGCAGTATTAGTGTTTCAGCATCAGTGTGTGAAACTGGTTTTCCACCAAATAAAACCCAGTTTCATGAAAGTTGCTCTCATCTCCAAAATAGGGAGCCCCAAGGAAAAGAAACGAATGTAAGTCAAATAATTCAAATCTTAAAATTGCTGTCAAAAGTGTAAAATAGTTAGGATATATACTTAAAAAAACTTAAACCAGTATCTTAGTGAAATTAGATTTTCCACGGACCAGTCCTCAATCAATCTAAGGGCTTTATAAAAAATATATATATACATGATTTACAAAGAACAAAATGGTCCAGAATACTGTTGCCTATTCCAGTTCTTAATTTAAATCTTCATGGAACATTAATAAATAAAGGCAAACATTTTTCAACCCATGTAACACCTTTTTGTTGCACTGTTTAGGCTTGTTCTGAAACAGCTGAACTAACCAGCAACTCTTGGGTAATCATGGGAATCTTACTTGAAGAATTTACAAACAGTACGTGAAGTTAGAAACTAAAGGACCAAATTAAATGAATTGCATGGAAACTACTTAAGAGCAATGTATCTGTGGTGGATTTAGATACTAGTTAGAAAAAATATTAGCTTACTGACAATAATGCATACTGAAGGTAAGTGTATCTGCTAATTCTAAGCATTTCCCTCCTTAGCTTCTGCATTGGCTCTTGGAGTGGAAATTACTGACACAAAACAAAATTTAATGCTACATTTTCATGAAATAATTTTGTTGATTGGATGCTTACTTTCTAAAGAAAGTCCATTACTTTGGACCTACTTTTGATCTGTTTATTTTCTTTCTTGTGCAGTGTACACTTTCTGTTTCCAAGCTTTTAGCACAATATGCTGAGCCTATCTTCTTTGACATATTCATAATTTACAATGAAAAAAGTGGTCAGGAATTCCTGTGGCCCATTCCAGTTCTTAATTTAAATCTTCAATATGATGGAACATTAGTAAATAAAGGTAAACAATTTTCTGTGTAGCACATTTTTGTTGGGCTGTTTAGGCTTGTTCTGTGGGTTTCAGTAAGTATTCCTACAATAACAGTGTTTATTTCAGCATCAGTGTGTGAAACTAGTTTTCCAATAATTAAAACCCAGTTTTATGAAAATTGCTCTCATCTCCAAAATCTCTTCTTCTGCACTGACTAGAAATTCTTGGGAATCTTACTAGAGCATTTTTTGTGTGAAGCAAGTACTACAAATCATTTATGAATGTGAATCTCATTATTCAGTCATTGCAGAGTTTTGGAGCAAATCATTACAAAAAAGACTTGTTTAGCCAAACCACTAACATTTGAATTCGAAACAATTGACAATTCACTGGCTCAGATATTGATGCCTAATTTATAATAATAATCCTTGCATTTGGTATAGCGTCTTATCACGTCTATGAGACTTCTCAAAGCGCATCACAGAATATACTGTAAAGTGAATTGACTGTATATTTTGTGGGCGAACACAGCAGCCAATTGTGCACAGCAGTGTCCTAGAAACAGTCGTGAATTGAGTGACCAATTTATTAAATTGTTTTTGAAGGAATTATTACCCCGGAAAAGCAATCCGCCCATTGACTAAGAACCAGGTTCCAACTTATACTGCTAGGTAAACAGAGGCATGTGAAGTAAGGAAACTTGCCCAACGTTTTGCCCTGCCAGGGAATCGAATCCAACTCCTTTCGCTTGCGAGGCAAGTGCTCTGACCACTAAGCTACAGGACTCCACAAATTATATTCTCCTTCTCAAGGAGGAAAAATACCAGTAAATGTGTGAGCCACATAATCTGGAAGCTAGCTGCAAAGATCACCTTGAGAATGTGTTTTCGGCAGGCCATTGATTCATACACTGAACATGCAATTCAACTAAATTCAGTCACTTTTGAAAAATTGTCCCAAATATTTATACATAAATCTGGGAGTTTCTCACTTGTTACACAATGAATTTGCACATTTTACTGTATATGCTGATTCTTGGAGAATAATGTATGAACTCTTGAGAAAATCTTATGCCAGAATACTCACAATTAGAAATAATTTGAGCTAGATTGGTAAAATATTTGTTCCTCTTGTAGTGACTCTCAAATTAAATTCATCTGTACCATTGTAGCAATGGGCAGAGTAGATTCCAAGGATTTCACAAAGAGGAAATAAAATGAAGGTCCTGTGGCTCTTAGGAACCTCGTGGTTAGTTGGTTGATTATAGAGCAAGACAAGTAAAGAGGGGGTAGTACCCAATCTCCAACCTGGACATTCAACCAGTAATAAGAAAGGAATGTGAAGACTACAAAAAGGGGCAAGGATAGGAAGCCCTTTTGTAAAAAAAATGCTTAAGACATTTTTGAAAAACTAAAATAAAATGGTAACTTTATTGAAGTACAAAAAGTATTGAAAATAAAAATCTTGGTCACTTGCATATTCAACATTTCAACTGCACGTTGTTCAAACAGTAATTTATTTTATAATTACAGATAATATAAACAAAAATTATCATTTAATACGGCGTATGTTCTTGGTGGATACTTTAAGTGGTCGTGAACTGCATTTAGAGAACCTGCCTAAAGTGATTCGAGTTGCTACAAAGATAAAAATCAGGTGAGAAAGGTGTTTAGATTTAATAAAAAAGGTTACTGATTTACTGCCGGTATTAAATCTCCATCTTTTGTGCAAAAAGAGTCATTTAAAAGAGGGCACATTTTGCTAGTTTGTTGATTGGAATGGAGGCTTTGATCACTAAAAGTAAATGTGTTTGGCATGGGGAGCAGGAATTTCAGGCCCAATGTCCAGGCAAATAAAGAGCAAGAATAGACTGTAAAGTGAATTGACTGTATATTTGTGGGCAAAATGCGGCAGCCAATTGCGCACACCAGTGTCCCACAACAGCTGTGGATTGAGTGACCAATTTATTATTGTGTTTTTTTTCTTGAGGGATTATTATCAGATGTGTGGAGTAATGAAACTTGCCCAAGGTTTCACCCCGCCTTTTGGATGGAACCCAAGTAAATTACTTCCATTTAGGAAGTTTGTTTAAATTCAGAACCCCAAACAAGGATTCAAAGGATCAGATGATTTTAACTTTTACAATTGTGCTGTAAAAATCAGATTTTTGCATAGCTTCTTTCTAAGTTTGAGTAAAAGCTTCTTTCTAAGTTCCAAATAACACTTAACACATTAATTTGATGTGTATCTTATTGCAGTGTTAACCTTGTGCCTAAAACTCTGAAGGGAAACATCTTTCTTCCATTGATCACCGTTGCCTACACAGACATTGAGCTCCAGGATCCTGCTTCACAGACTGTTCCAGTAAGTAAGCTTACCTTCTTTAAAGGGATGAAGACTTTAAGGAACAAAAAGATTAATTCGATAAGCATGGACCATCTATACTACAATATATGTAAACCATATTCAACATGTAATATATATTTATTAATTTCATTTGGTATTTTAGTTTTTGATAATCTAACAAGACCTTTACTTTTAAGTCATATTTTGAGTTCAGAAGTAAATGAGATTAAGAAACATTTGGAGCTTTATTTCATCTTTCACTCTCCTTTATATCAAATAGGCAACTTTTTCAGTTGAATATAAAATGGATATGAACGAAGCAGAACTGAATGTCAATGTAAGTTTTGTATACATTCTAATGTATAAGTATACAAATATTATTATTGTTGACTATTATTTGATTAAACTTAAACATCACATGTCTATGAACTATTGAATATCACAAATGTTTGTCCTTTATTGTAAATATTGCCCTGTGAATGTTGTTATAAAATAAAAAAACTGAATTGTATTATACACTGACAATCACAGCTGACAAAATAAAAGCCAAACTGAATAAATCACATGATTAGGAGGAGGTGGCCGAAGGTGCAATCAAAGAGTGAGGTTTGAAAGCAGAGATGGAAGGAGGCGGACGTATTTTGGAAAGAAAGAAAGTTTCAGAGGGTAGGGGCGATATGCCTGAAAGCTTGTCTGCTGATTATCAGGCAGGGAACATGAAACAGGCCACTGGGCAAAGCGGAGGAACCGGATGGAGAGTAGGATAGCAGGAGTTAGCAGAGATAGGGTGGGGCAAGGCAGTGGAGGTAATTGAAGATAAAGCTGTGAATCTTAAAATTGATCAGGTGGGGATTAGGCAATCAGTGGAGCCAGAAAAGGATAGAGTTGAGACTTGCAAAGATTTGATAAACGCAAGCCAATGTAGGCTGTAAAGTCTGGATGATATTAGTTTGTGGAATATAGAGTTGGGAAAGCTGGTGAGGAGCGTATGAAAAGTAGAGTCTGAAGTTGATGAAGGCTTGGATGAAGGTTTTTAAGCAGACTTGGGTAGAGCCTAAGTGAAAGACTCAAACACGAATTGAGGGTCTAACAAAAAATCAAGGTTCTGCATAGGCTTCGTGAATTGGAGTGAGCAACAGGAAGTTTGATACATTTAGTGCTTGAGATGAGAAGTTGTTGGTGGAGCCGAGCAGGGTAGCCTAAGTTTTTATCAACATTGATTTGGAGAAAGTTGAAGCTCATCCAGGACATAATGTGTGACAGACAAAGTGCCAGAACAGCAGCTGTCCTAGATTCTGTGATAAATGATATTATTAAGGAGCATTATACTACTGGAAATAATAAAACAAAGCAGGAAAGATAGTTTTTTATTTTTACTTCAGATTACTTTGGGTTTTCTGGCTGGAATATCAGTGATCTACTCTGTCCTGAAAACAGCCAGTTGGAAAAGACGAATTGGCTCTCCCATGATTGACCTTCCAGTAAGTATGCATTTTGTGTGAGAATGTAGTCAAATTTCATGCCCTCCTTTTTATTTATTTATTTTTTTCCCCCACCCCATACAGGTGGGATATTTAGGGCTTGAGATATTGGACCCAGATGACAGAGTTATAAAGTGGTTGCACACCAGTTTATCTAACTCAGCAATGTGTAAAGAGCATTTTGTGCTGGTAAATTTGTGGAGTTATCATTACTCAATGTGTTGTACTTACTTGTAGAATTACAGTTCAACAAATCAGTTCAACAAATTCAGGTGGTGGTTTTGTGGCAAGGACTGATATTTGAAATTGCAGAGGATGAAATCAATGGGAAAACTAGGAGATCTTTCTATTTTCTGTATACAAAAATGACATGAGATTCACGTTCTAGGTAGAAGATAGTTGACTGATCAATGACCCTTAAACTAGGAAGCACTGTAAATGCAGTGCAGGCAGACAAAATCTTACAATGAGAGCTCAACAGGGTATATACTTGGGCTAATTACGAATCATTCAAAGTTCTTCTTTAAAGAAGGTTTTTCATGGATTAGATATAACTTGTCAAGGCAGAAGTTTGAGTCTCAACTCTGATGCAATTAGTGATTGTTAAACATTATTTTCTGAGAAAAAATGTGGGCAATGCATCAGTCTGGCTCAATTGATAGCACTCTTGCCTCTGAGTCAGAAGATTATGGGTCAAACTCCATGTCAGAACTTGGAACTCATATACCTGACAGTCCAGTGCAGCGCCTGGGGTATGCTGCATTGCTGTACATGCCATTTTTCGCATGAGAAGTTAAACCAAGGCCGTTTGCCTGTTCAGGTGATCGCACGGCACTATTCAAAATGAGCAGGGAGTTTCTACGGTGTCCTGATCAATAATTCTCTCCTCCCAAATGAAATTGGTCATTCACTTCATGGCTGTTTGTGGGATATTGCAGTGCACAAAATTGGATGCCACTTTACAGCAAATCCTGTGAAATGCTTTGGGACGTCCTCACAACACGAATGTTGCTATACCAGATGTAAGGATTATTATCAATGGATTTTCAGCAAACTAAATCCTAGAAAACTAATTGAATTCTGTTGTGATGTTACAATCTTTAAAAAAAAATTATTTTATCTTTTAAATCTAGACAGTCATCAAGTTCTTGCTGTTTTATGCTGGAGACCTAGCAAACATCTTTTTTCTTGTAACAGTTGGAACAGGCCTGTACTGGCTCGTATTCTTCAAGGTATTGTTAAATGTTTACTAAAATGTACATTATATTCCATGAGTTTGTTACATTATTTGTAATATTAGTTCAGATATGCTAAGTGTAAACTATTTAAATTTCTCTTCTATATTTCTGGTCAGAGTCTTGAGGTGAATTCCATTTGTTTGGATCACCATTTGTTTCCTTTGATTTGTTATGTTGTGTCTATTTGAAGTTTCTTCTGTACTCCTAGAAAGAGATTTCTTGAACCATAAAAAGGGGGCTTGCAGTTATTTTTACTTTTTGATTCTAGGGTCAGTGGGTTGTCTCTGTTCTTCTTCCCACACCATACCAGGAGAGACAGTTTGTTGGTTGTATAGCAAGTGCATTTGGACTGAAGGTATTGATGGACGGATGGATGAATGGATGGATGAGTGGATGAGTGGGTAGGTGGGCTGATTGTCTTGAAAATTGATAACATGAGTGCTGTATAAAAACTGCATATTCAGTTCAGGTTTTTGAACAGATTCCTCTTGATTCCAACCCATGTTATAGCAAAGTCCTATAAGCCCTATAGCTGGTTGCACTGTACATACGCAGAGGTACTTCCTGTAACCAACTCCTGCGCACTTGAAAAAACATCTGATTTCTGGGGCCTGTGGTTATTTCTGGGGTCACTTCCTTTGTACCATGCATAATGAGCAGAAAAGGACATCAGTGGCAACCTAATGCACCAGTAACATCCATTTTTAGTTGGGAACTGACCATTATCCACAAATCAAGGTGGCTGGTTTTGCATGTGCCCAGTGAACGTGTTCCATGCTCCTTTTGTGCTATAAACAAATCCACATTATTAACAAACCCATGTTGTAACATGGTTCCAGTGTACTTATCTCAGATATGCTAGGATGGCTCAACATGAGGCTACTAATTCAGTGTAGCAGAGGATAGACATCAGGAATTATTTCTTCACCTCAAGGGTAATTAACAACTGGAATGCGTTTCAGGAAGTGTTGTTGAGGCCAAGACTTTGAACTAATTTAAGAAGCAGCTTGATGCTGTGATGGGAAGATGATAGGGTGGATATTCTGGAAGGATGAGTTCAAATTGGCCAAAGAACCTTCGTCATCTAAACCTAACTTGTAGTCATCCTTTGCTGCACTGGATCGTGCATGCCCTTGATTACCAACATTGGCAGGTTCGACTGGCTCCCTGTCCTCCTCCAGAATTACTTCAAGGTGCTTTCAAGTCTCTCCACTCCCTTGCCCTTTCTTTTCTCCAGCTTCACTACCTCCACTTTGCAAACTGTTGCACATCCTCCACCCCCTCTGTCCAACCATTCACGACAATTATGAGCTTTGAGATGCTATGATACTGTCCCCAAATCCTTTATCTTCTTTGAGGAGTCCTGTAGCTCAGTGGTTAGAGCACTCGCTTTGCAAGCGAGAGACCTGAGTTCAATTCCAGGCAGGGCGAAATCTTGGGCAAGTTTCCTTACTCCACACAGAGCCTAATAATAATCCCTCCAAAACCAAAAACAATAATAAATTGGTCATTTTCAATCTACGACTGTTTGTGGGACATTGCTGCGCGCAATTGGCTGCCGCGTTCGCCCACAAATATACAGTCAATTCACTTTACAGTGTGTTCTGTGAAGCGCTTTGGGATGTCCTCCTGATGCGAAAAGTGCTATATCAAATGCAAGGATTATTATTATTATTATTATTATCTTACACTGTTTGCCTCCAACCTGTGTTTTCCAACCTCGTCTAAAAACCTACGTCTGCTTTTTTTGGTCAGCTTTTTCCTTCCTCCTATTTCCCACTTTGCTCGAGGTTTTCCTTTACTTTTATGCTTACTTCAAGCTTTTCTATGTGAAAGGCGCTATAAAAGTGCAAGTTTTGGTAATTATACTGCAGCATTACAGTTCACCGTGCTTCTATGTTTACTCTGTTCATTTATTGTTTCCTGTTAGTTTCTATAGTTTCTAATATTTTTGTGTCCTGGGAAATATCACTTTCCAACTCCTAGATGCTTCAGCTTTTACATAAGATTCTAAACCAGTTAACTATCGACATCTTTTTTATTGACTGGGAGAGACCAAAGGGCAAAATTCTCAAGTCTGTTCAAGGTAATTCTTAATTTTGTTCTGTATTGTATGTCTCGTACTGTTCAGTTTCTAATAGTCAGCACAATTATACTCTTATGTCAAGATATTATATATTTTACTATTTTCTTAAAAATAAAAAGTCTGACGAACATAAATCACAGTGCTGGTTGGGGGATATGTTAAACCGTTTTTGCAGGATTGGTAATTGTACTGAACTATATATTAAACTAAAGCTGTTTTGCTTATGGAAAGAATAGACATATTGATACAATTATTACGATGGCAAAGTCATTGCCATTTTACCTCACAAATATGAAATCTAAACATCTTGACTTTGATACTTTTCCTTGATCATATATTCATTGTTGCCAGTTACACACTTTCTACCATATTTTTAGATTTTGATCTCCAAGAGCTAATTTCCTCATTTATTAAACCTCCAGTCTTAGCTAGACAAGCAGGAGAAAGATCACCATATATGGGCCTTTATTACTGTCTTGTGCTATCCTCACCCCCATTATCCGTGTTCTTTGACATCGGTGTGTATGTGTGTGTAATTGCAAGAAAAAAACAATTGCAGGGGAGAGATCGTGTCAGACTCCGCCACTGTCAAACGTCCGTCATGCTACCCCGCGTGAAGGGCGCTATGTAAGATGTTTTTGTTGTGCATTCCAGAATGAGGAAATGGAAGCTCTGTTTCTGTGCGTTTTTATAAAATGGAACTGGTGATTAACCGCAGCGATGTGGCTGACACATTGTCAATAGATCCTCGATTAGCCTTAAAAAAAAGTAGTTTTGTTTTGCCTTCTCTCTGCGACTAGTGTTAAACTCTCTTCAATGTGTTAATTTTCTCTTTGCTGGCTCCTGACAGCATAAACCAACCAATTATTTTTCTCATCACTGAGTTAAATTGCATTAATTTTTTCTTCTCTCTTCAGTATGATGGCCCGAGTCTGGATATGAGATGTTTCTGTCAGTGAAAGGAATGCAAAACCTTTACTTAAGTGTGATTTGTGGTATTGGTTTTATCGCAGAAAGCGCTGTTGTAGAAATTAATTTTTAGGCATCAAAAACAAGGAACCCACAACAATGTATTTGTATAGTTACAAAAAAACAAGGTTTGGACATTTCTTTGGTATCTTTTGCTGCAACAAGAACCCCAAGCCACATGTCACGCCCATCTCAAAGCTTTATGTCTCTCATCTAGTTCAGTGAGTTGCTGTATGTTTCCTGGAATCATTTCAATCCATCACATATTAATTTCCTGTTTATAGGTGGAGGTGATATAAAGACTGCCCCTACCCCTGTGAGCATCTGGAGGACCTATTTAATAGCAAATGAATGGAATTGCATTCAGACAGTCAGGAAACATAATCCTATTTTTCAAGTTTTCGCTGTGCTATTTGTTTTAGAAGTAAGTTTACAGTCTGATAGAAAGAAAAGAGCATTTATACAGTCAGAAATGCACACTATCAGAACTAAACATAGCATGTGCCCCGGTCTTTTTTCATTATTATCAATGTACTTCATTGCGAATTGTTAGTCTGATGATTTACATTTAAATATTATCATGGAGGTTTAAAAAAATGCTTTTGCGCTTTGTACATCTGTTTATTTACTTTACTGGCCAACTGTGTTTAAACAAAACGTTGCAGTAGGATGGTATAGCCCAATGGTGCCCAACATTTACAGAATTACCTAGACTTTGTCCAAACGTTCGGGGGGGGTGGGTGCTTCTTGACAGCCCCACAGGCCACTTTTGGCCCGCGGGCCACAGGTTGGCTGTCACTAGTTTCTGCCAACCCGGTTTTCACATGGTGGTTTGGATGCTCAAACCCTCATATTAAAATGAACCTTGAAAAATTTAGCTGACTTTTATGTTGTCAGGTTGCTACTGATGTCATTTCCTGTGTACAATGTGTGTGGATTTTGTTTTGTCACAGAAAGCAGTGTTGTAGAAATTAAGTTTTAAGGATTGTGACACTACTTTTGATATATTTTGGTGTCTTTTGCTGTAACAAGCAGCCCAAAACCGCACGTCACACCCATCTGGAAGCTTTGTATCTTATATCTAGCCATTTCTGTCACAAAATCAGTGATGTTTCCTGTACACAGCGCGAATGTGCAGCATGTAAAAGTGAAGTTGCTAATGTGTGCAATGAACAGGAAGTGATGTTAGTAAAAACCCAGAAGTTAGACATTTCAAAAACAATCTGGGGGTCCCATAGAATACCCACATTATAAGCAAACTCGTGCTTCAGTGAGGCACTTTATAATGTAGCCCTATAATTGCAATTAATCTTTAGTTAGTTGCAATTGTTCTGCAGACATATTGTGGAGTCCTGTAGCTCAGTGGTTAGAGCACTCGCTTTGCAAGCGAGAGACCTGAGTTCAATTCCAGGCAGGGCGAAACCTTGGGCAAGTTTCCTTACTCCACACGCCTAATAATAATCCCTCCAAAAACCAAAAACAATAATAAATTGGTCATTTTCAATCTACGACTGTTTGTGGGACATTGCTGTGCGCAATTGGCTGCCGCGTTTGCCCACAAATATACAGTCAATTCACTTTACAGTGTGTTCTGTGAAGCGCTTTGGGACGTCCTCCCGACGTGAAAAGCGCTATATCAAATGCAAGGATTATTATTATTATTATTATTATTATATTTATCATTCTGTGAAATTACAGTTGAATGCACAGTATTTTGTTCCTGAGATTGCATAATGCTAGGTGTTGCAGGTGTGAATTTTGTTGGCTGCCCCAAAATTATTTTGTGATGTTAGTAGGAATCTAAATTTGATATTCAGATCTGTTAAATCCCAGATCTAGTTTAGTATTAGTGAAGGATTTGTTTGTCTGTGATAGATTGTTAATGAATCGCAAATGTCGTGGCTTGTTTTTTCCATTTCAGATTCTCGGTTTTGGAAATCTGACTTCAATGGATTCTGACTCCAGTCTCAACAGAACTGCTGTGAATATTGTTGTACCATCAAGCCCCACTCTGAGATATGGTGTAGCTAGTAGTGTGTGGCTGATGATCGGCCTCATGCAGGTGAGAACTATCTGAAATCCCTTCTCATTTGTGTAGTTCAACTGAGATATGTGAGACAGGGTTGCAGAACTACTCTTAATGCTCTCTGTCAATGATGCTACTCTGATTTTCTTTCCCTCTCTGAGAACTCCCTGTATTGTTGCTCAATTTTTTATGTTGATACAGTAAAAATTAGGAAATATAGAATTGTGGACACAAGCCTATTCCATAGCGCATGTGAAAATGTTATTTAATGTTTGTTTCGCTAACTTTCCAATATAAATATTGTGGAGTTCTGTACCTCAGTAGTTAGAGCACTCGTCTCGCAAGCGAGAGCCCTGGGTTCGATTCCCAACAGGGTGAAACGTTGGGCAATTTTCCATACTCTTTACCTAGCAGTAAGTAGGAATCGGGTGTTAGTCGATTAGCGGATCGCTTTTCCAGGGGTAATAATTCCTTCAAAAAAAAATTGGTCACTTCAATCTATGACTGTTTGTGGGATACTGCTGTGAGCAATTGGTTGCCATGATTTGCCCACATAATATGCAGTCAATTCACTTTCAGTATATTCTGTGAAGTGCTTTGAGATGTCTCGAAGACGTGATAAGGCAGGCACTCTATCAAATGCAAGGATTATTATATTTTTTAAAATAATAATCTAAGTGCTTATACACAAATTCTGTGAACTACTGAAAACTCTGGTGGAGCTAGGGGGAAAAAAAAAATCTATTTGGTGTATATAGAATGGGTAGCATACTCACCTCTGGGTCAGAAGGTTGTGAGTTAAAACCTAGTATGATGCTGATGGTGGAATAGAACCAAAGAGGAAAATTACATTCAGAAAAAGAGAGACCTAAAGGGAGGGCAAGACATATGCAAGTTTAAAAAAGGACAGAAAATGAGATGAGTCAACGGTGATGCCATCCTTGGATTTTAAAAGATTGTAGGAGGAAAGAAAAACTAAGGATTTTGTGGTAAGCACATTTGTGGTACCGCCAATCACGCTACAAGCATACTCATGTTATAACAGCACATTATAAAAATAAAGAAGATCAGTGTGCAGCGAGTCTAAATTGGAATAAAAGATGCAGGGAGAGGGAAGATTATCAGGATAATGTTTAGTTGAGGGAATCAACAGAGAAAGGTTCAGAGGAATGATGATAACATTTGTGTCAAAAATAGAGAAAGTTGAGAAATGTTGCAAATGAAGATAAAGTTAACAGCAGCCTAAGTTAAATTTTATCATATTTTTGTATCTGTTGGGGCTTTAAAGCAACGTGATTAAATCTTCCCAGTTAAAGTCTTTTGCTATTTTGTTTTTTTAATGGAAACTCACAACTGTTTGGGAATGTTAAAACAAATTTATCACAATTTGGTACTCAAAATGTAAGTGAACAGTCATTTTGGCCATTTTAATATGCAGCTTTTAATAGCTAAATAAGAGTATATTTTATCTAGTTTGTTTTCGTTTCAGATCACTTTTTGCACATTATTTTACGAACGATTTGTGGAAGATAAAATAAGACAGTTTGTTGACCTTTGCTCAATGAGTAATGTGAGTATTGTTTAATTTTTCTTTCTTTGATTAGGGAGATGCTGTTTTAACAGTTTACAGAAGTTATTTTCCAAAATTCACCACCAGTATGTATTTTCATTTCATGTCCATGTTTTTGCAGATCTCTGTTTTTATTTTGTCGCACAAATGTTTTGGATATTACATTCATGGAAGATCTGTCCATGGTCACGCTGACACTGACATGCAAGAAATGAACCTGAATCTAAAGAGAGAGGCGGTATAATATATTTAGTAAATTAAAATCAAGATAAATACATTTTCACCTTTTAAAGGTTTCCTTTAATGAAGAAAATTATGAATATATGTTTTACCCTCGCCCAACTCCACTGGCTCCCCATCCCTCAGAGGATTGAATTCAAGATCCTCGTTCTCACTTTCAAGACCATCCATGGCCTTGCCCCCTCCTACCTCTTTGACCTGCTGACTCCTTACCAACCTGCCCGTTACCTCCGTTCATCAGGCTCCAGTCTGCTCCATGTCTCCCGCCCAACCTGCCCTACCATCGGTGGCCGGGCTTTCAACCTCTCTGCCCCCACACTCTGGAACTGCATCTCACAGTCCCCTCGCCTCACTTCCTCCCTTGCCTCCTTCAAGGCCGGTCTCAAGACCCTTCTCTTCGATCGTGCCTTTGGTCACCCTCCCACCTCTCTGCCTTCCCTCACCCCTACCCCACCCCTCCCCCATGCTCGGGTCCTCCTAATTGGCTCGCGTCAGCGCCTCCGCACCTCAGGCGCTGACAGCATCAGCATCTAAGGCTGCACTCTCCACCTCTCAAAGCCAGTCAGGAACCTCGGCGTTCTGTTCGACCCTGAGCTGTCCTTTCTTCCTGATATCCGCGCCACAACTGGCACCGCCTTCCATCACCTCCGGAATTTCGCCAGACTATGGCACTACCTCACCCCTCACGCTGCTGAAACTCTGGTCCACGTCTTTATCACCTCAAGGCTGGACTATGGGAACTCTCTCCTCGCCGGCCTTCCCGGCACCTCCCTCCACAAGCTGCAGGTCATTCAGAGCTCTGCAGCTCGTGTACTGTCCCGCACCAGGCTTCGGGACCACATCACTCCCACCCTCGCTCGCCTCCACTGGCGCCCCATCCCCCAGAGGATTGATTTCAAGATCCTCACCCTCACCTACAAGGCCATTCACGGCCTTGCTCCCTCCTACCTCTCCGACCTACTATCCCCCTACTTACCTGCCCGTACCCTCCGTTCCTCTGGCTCCGGTCTGCTCCACATCCCCGCCCCACCCGCACTACCATCGGTGGTCGGGCCTTCAGCCTCTCAGCCCCCAGGCTCTGGAACTCCATCCCCCAGTGCCTTCGCCGCCTCCTCCCTTTCCTTTTCAAGGCCGGTCTCAAGACCTTTCTCTTTGACCGTGCCTTCAGTTCCCTTCTCGACTCTCTACCCCCTCCTCGCTCCTTCCCTTCCCTCCCCTCACCCTGACCATTTCCCCCCTGCTCGGGTCCTGACCCAACTGTCCAGCACCTTGGGATGTCCTCTCGACGTGAAAGGTGCTCTAGAAATGCAATTTTGTTGTTGTTGTTGTTCAATCTCAAAATGCTACAGAACATTTGATTTATTTGTTGCTGGTATAAATTAGTTGCATCTTTGCAAAATATTATAGCTTAATTTCGAACTAATCTCTGTAACGAACTTTGAGAAGTTTATCTTGCATGAAATGCATCATATAAATTCAAGTTGTTCAAAGCTTTATCTTTCTATTCTCAAACCACTAAATCTCACAAAAACCTACAACACCGATTTCCTTCCAGATCATGGATTAAAAGATACAATTTCAATTTACTTTGCTATCTTAGTTATCCTATTTATACAATTTGCATAATTTTAAATCAAAATTATTGTAATTTTATAGATTACCAAATTGATTTAATCCATAACTTTACAAAAGAATGCATGATTTTGTTTTGCTGTGGTCTCATTCAGCAATTATAAATGTTAATCATTTGTTCTTTTGGCTATTAACATTTAAATGTAAATTCTACATTTATATTAATTTATCTTTATGATCACCAAATAATTATTTCTTCACAGGAAAATCTCTGTGGCCAAAGAGGTTTGCTTCCCAATACCGATATTGAGACATTTCAAATTTTCATCACTAATCGGATGAGGCAACATTATGACAAGATTAGAGAGTCACTACTTTGGGTTTGTGACATTGATCATTTATTCTAAGACATTTGAAGAATATCTTTCAAATCATTAATTACTCAGTTGCTAAATTTTATGACAATCATTTTGCAGAAAAATGGACCTACCCGACCATTGATTAACTCTGGTGATGCTTTTGAACAGAATGTAAGGACCTACAATAACATGAATAAATTTCTTAGTTCATTTGTTGATCATGTAAGTATCCTGTTAAATTTGTCCATTTGAACGCAGTCACGTGCATTGAAATAGTCATTGTAAAGCATGTTTACAGTAATTTTCATGAATAACAATCTATGCTTCATCTGAATTTTTACTATGTTCTGTCAGAACTCTAAATAATAACTGTAGTCCATTCTTACCTTCAATATGCATGAAGAGTAATAGATTTAGGAAGCAATTAACATATTGAACAATGGTATAGTACATATTTAGGATTTTGATTTAAATCTAGTGTTTTTCATACCATTATTTCTTTCTACATCTCAACCATATGTTTGGGAAAGATATCAAGATGCATTATTCTATGCTTATTCTCAAAGAAGGGACAAAATGTGTATGCTGCTGGGAGAGAGATGGGGTTTTAGAGAGGAGGAGAAAATATCATTTGGAAAGTAGGACAAAGTAAACGTTATTTGTTTTTAAAAAGGAAATGAGAGATTAACTGATGATGTAAAATAATTGGGTATTAAATTAATAGTCTCTGAATGCTTATATGAGACCCTGTGAGATCATGTGCCCTTGTAGCCCAAGCCAAGATCTTATTATATCAGAGGGAAACACTGATCAATTATAAGGTTTATGGATGCAATAATTGTCAGATTCTCAGCAATGTTTTCATTGATGTCATGAAAACACTTCCAGACTTTGCTAAAGTTTTTTTGAGATATTGATCAACGCTGGCTCTTCTATTTCCTCTGAATTATTGATTTGTAGGAGGACTTTAAGTCTAATTTGAGCTTCTGTATTTGCTTTAAATGTCACGCTTTTGGTGGTGATCATTTCTGCACACCTTTTGAGAGAATTTTTTAGTAAGTGCATTTATCAGTCAAAAGAACACAAGAGACATTCAAATGAGGAAAGTCTTTCAATTTATTTTAGCCTTTTGTTCCAGAATAACAACTGTACCATCTTTCTATTGCAGCATCAAGTATATCTTAAACAAGTCCAGTGTCCTGGTTTTAAATACCCTCCTTGGTAACCCGTTCCAGTTATTGATTACCCTCTGTGCAAAGAAGTGCTTCATGAGGTCTGCCTTCTTGTCCTACTGCTTTGACATATTGGAAACTGTTTTTCTGGTTTTATGTCTCTGTCCTATTAAGTATCTCTATTCCTTGATAAAGCCCTCTTTGTGACAACGTTTTCAATATCTATGTCTTAACTTAATTAGGTTTTCCTTGTAGCTCATGCTCTAACAACACAGTTCACCTGTGATCATTTCTGCACTGCCCAAAAGCCTTGGGCACTGTCACAAAGCCCAGAACTGTAGGGAGTACTCTGAGTGTGATTTGACCACAGATTCAGCATGACTTCTGGAGATTTGAAGTTAGTAGATTAGTCAATATAGTCAACATTCTGTTTCTTTCTTTCTTACTATCTCATGCTGTTCGCATATTGAGAACCAACAATCTAGTGTATCTTACAATTTTCGTCTGAGCAAGTTCTATCTCATTCATGGAGTACATTTAACTGCACTTACTTGGTTTGTCTGCATTAAATTTCATTTGTCAGTGATCTCACCAGCCCAGTTATATACCCTATTGAGATTTCTGTGAAAGCTTTGTTGCCTCCTCTGAGTCCACATTATCACGTAGCATTATGTAAAAATTAACTATTGTGCATCGAGTATGTGAATGCAGTGAGGATATATAAGGATAAATAACTCTTGGGGATATTGTAGGAAAAGATTTCTACCTTATAAGGGGGGCTTAAAGGCGTTTAGTTTCCAAACTAAACGCCTTTTAATTTGCCCATTTATTTTAAATTACCTGTTTCTCCAGAATAATTCTCCAGTCATTCCAAAGACAAGCATTATGTAAGCCATAAAGGTAAGGTAAATTGTTCTTATTTTAAAAAAAACTATCTGTTCTGGGTTAAATTCTCATCTGCTTTTTGGTTAATGTCTTTTTAAATTCTTTGTAAGTGGCTTTATCAGTTTTCCAATGTGCTTTGTTATTGGAAATGTTCTGCTCTGTGTCCCCCGTCCAGCCCGCCCCACCATCGGGTTCGGACCTTTAGCCTCTCTGCCCCCACCCTTTGGAACTCCATCCCACAGTCCCTTCGCCTCACTCACTCCCTTGCCTCCTTCAAGGACCATCTCAAGACCCTCCTCTTCGGCCGCACCTTCAATCACCCTCCTACCCCTAACGTTCCTGCCCTCCACCCCTCCTGATCCCAAATCCCTGCTTGGGTCCAAATCCCTAACTGTTCAACGCCTTGGGACATCTGGACATGAAAGGTGCTGTACAAATGTAAGTTGTTGTAGTAGCAGTCTATTAGTTTTGAACTTTTATCAAAAATTCAACACATTCCACTACGGGTACTAATGTATAATTCCAAGTTAACTTTTGATTTTCAATTTGCTGTGCAGAGTATCTTTTAGGTGCAATGTCATGTTTAAACTTTCCTGCTAATATAGATAGCAAAAGGCTACATTTCTCACCATGGGCAAATTTATTTAGGTCATTTGATATGTGTATTGCCAACCAACCCAAGTGTTTTGAGATGTTCTGACGTGAAAGGCATGACATTTAAACCCCTGCTAGCCAGACTAATGAGGAGAGATCCTATCCAGGGAGCCAGAATTTCTGGCTAAGTCTAATTACAATGCCCATACCGACTAGGGTCAAATTCCGGATACCGGGGGTAACTGTATAAACATAAATTGTATGGTGTTGATCAGCTGTTATAAAATCAGAAATATAGTGCAATATAGCAGTTTTAGGGCACCAATAAACTATGCCATTTCATTGAGACACATAAATATAATTTCCCATTGGACTGACATCTGGAGATGAATAGAGACCCAACATGAGGAGTGGTGGGGAAAGAATGAAAAATCTGTGGGACTTTCATATCTTACTCCTGTTTTTACGTATTTGTCTAGGAACTGTCTTAGAGTCAGATTAGTAGAGGTCTTTGAGATTACTGACCTCCCAAAACCCTCTCCATCACAAAACATGGGTGTGGGAGAGGGCAGGCCAAGGGCAATCCATAAAGTGGAATGCTTAAGTCTTACTTATTCAATGTTTGTAAAGAAAACTTATTTACTTTTATTTGGGGATTGCTTACTGGAAAATAATAATAATAATCCTTGCATTTGATATCGTGTCTTATCATGACATTGAGACTCTCAAAGCGCTTCACATGATATTCTGTAAAGTAAATTGACTGTATTTTATGGGCGAATGTGGCAGGCAGTTGTGTACACCGATGTCTCGCAGACAGTCAAAAATGTACGTTTTATAAAACATGACTAAACTAGTGCGAGGCAGCAAGAAGTGCTTTCAGCTTCAGAATCGTTTCTAAAAAGCACACAAGGAACAAGACTGCTGTGGGATATATTGCAGAGGGAAAGGCAATAAAAANTTGTGAAAAGGGGAAGTCATTTACAAGATTTGCAAAATGTCAAATCATAACTGGGCAAACTGTATTGAATCATTGCCTTTCAGCAATAAAATGCAAAATGACTTAATTGCGCTTAACAATAAATGGCAAAGAACAGGCATCAGTGGTTAGAACACTCGCTTTGCAAGCGAGAGACCAGCGTTCGATTCCCGGCAGGGCGAAACCTTGCGCAAGTTTCCTTACTCCACACACCTGATAATAATCCCTCAAGAAAAAAACCAATAATAAATTGGTCACTTCAATCCACGACTGTTTGTGGGACACTGCTGTGCGCTATTGGCTGCTGCGTTTCGCCCACATAATATACAGTCAATTCACTTTACAGTATACTTTGTGAAGCACTTTGAGACATCTAGAAGACCTGAAAAGCACTATATCAAATGCAAGTATTATTATCAGTGCCAAAATGCTTGCTGAATGATGAAGATTAGTGTGATTAAAAATAACTCATAGCACCTCAAGAAGAGATCAGCTGATTCCATTATTTAGTGATAACATTTCTCATTCAAAAAAAAGGCTGAGTGCTATGTCATCAGAGCCTATTGTAAAATAAATATATCGAACATTTGTTTGTGCTAATATTCTCCCATTCTCCTTTCCTGAAAGTACTGACTTTTCAGTTCTATAGATGCAGACAGCACTCCAGTTCCATGGCTAAGTGTCCATTCTTTATTTGTGAGGTGATACAATGTGTGCCAGCGAGCAACTCAACCATTGGGGGAAAATAGAGATGTAAGGATCACAGCTGAGTCTGAATTTGTTCTCGCCCTGTGACCACACTCCTGTGATCTCCATCAGGGAATGCTATATAATGGTTAGAAGCCAGTTTGGTGCATCATTTTCCCTTTGCTACCCCAGGGGTGTTGGACACAAACCTCAAAAGACTGCCCTCACTGAGATCACAGAGGAGGAACCAAACCTATAATGTAATTCAAATGGCCTTAGTGCTACAACAGTTAGTAACTGTATTAGGACATGGGAGCATGCTCGTGTCGGATTGAAGTTACGCACCTCGTCACCTGCTGTATGGCATTGTGCTCGTGCTCGTGTCCAGAACAGCCTTAACTTGCACTGTACATGAATTTAATTTTATTATGAATTTTCCCTGTTCAAAGACAAAGACATTTGGCTAGTTGGCTTATCTGGGTTTATAAAAAGTTGCATTTGTTTGTTCTTCTTTTCTATACTTGAAGTCCCTTCGTGACCTGGATTACATTGTGAAGGACAAACTGTTGTTGGAACGAATAATAGGATTGGAGCTGAATGAACCAACAGACATGAGCATATTTTACAATGGTATATTTTCCTTCGTTATTTTTTTCTACATTAGTAAATTTACAGTAGACAATCAAATAGTAATCAGTTGTCCAATTTTTACCAAATAATCCAATTTAGTTTTGTGAGTAATGCAGAAAAAAAATTGCTGTCAATTTAGAATATTTGATTCATAAAACTTTTTAAAAAATGTATAAATGTTAAAGATTCTGATCATTTAACACCATTTCCATTCCAGAGATGAATTAGAGAACTTTACTTTTATTTGGTTATATCTTTACCACAAACATTGTTATAACCACAAATGAGATCTCAGAACTATTAGTGCAGGAAATGATTATTTCTTACCTTTTGGACACTAAGCTCATCTCAGCCAAATTTGTCTGTAATGTTTGTGAAAATTGTTTCCTGTATCTACTACTGATAGAATACAGTATTACAATTTTGGGAGATGGAAGGAGGAGAAACTAATCCCTAATTTATATGATAACAGTGCAATTGACAGCAGGATTGCCGTTCACCAATCTTTAAATCTTTAAAAATGTAAACAAATTGGCCCAATTTATGCTGCCTCACTTCACCAGTGACCAGCCTGATGTAGTGCTCAGCAGCAATTTATCGCTACAGCAAGATAAAGGGCACTATCATCCAGGTCGGGCGACCTCATCACATGGCTGTCATCATTGATGATGTGAACTATGAATATGTCACATATGAATTTCCTTCTTGAACCCAACAGGGCCAGAGACCAGCATAAAGTGAAATTCTATCAGCTGCCATTCTTGACCTCTGCAACCCTCAGTTCTGGTTTAAGAGGATGCTAGAATAGAAGGACTAATTCTCATTACCCTGAAACAATCTCATCTAAGTGGTTTCAAAAACAAAAAGTTGAGAGCAATTTGTTTTAACTGAGCCCTCATTTATTCTGCACAATTGATGGTGAGTCCCAATGAGTTGCCACCAAAAATACATTGTGAACATAGCATCAATATTGCAAGATTAAAATGCTATTCTATTCTTTGCCTCAGATGAAACTTATTCATTCAGTGATGTACTCTACTATGGCAATGAAGGCACACTGCTCATCTTTGACACACTATTCTTCTGCATTGTGGACCTTGTTTCCCAGAACTTTGTTTTTGCTGCTATTATGACTTATATACAACAAGAGGTATGCATTCATTTTTACTTGATATTGTACATGCACCAAAAGTCATGACAGCAAGAAAATCAAATGACTGTCTGTTTCTTTATTATACTTAACTTGCATCAGATAACCTATTGTGTTTTAGATGACCACTTCTCTGGTCTCTTCAGCATCAAGTAAAATGCTGATTCTGTCAGAATCAACTACAAGTAAACATCACGTTAACTTTTTTCTTTCAGATGTTGGTTGATTCTTGTGTCAACATTTTCTGTTTTTATGTCAAAAGGCCAATAAATATAAAATATAAATCTATATTTATTTAAGATTTCCAGCATTCTTAGTTTTTAGCAACTCTTAATTTTCAGTTGTTCAAAAATCTAGAAATACAATCTTTATTTCTCAAATAGACTCTTATTTCCTTTGCTTATCTGAAATCCTGTCCTATGGAATTGGAAGTGATTATCCAAAATAAACAGCAGGTTAATTCAGTTCAATTCACCTTGATGTAGATTAAGTACTCCGAATATATGCTGGACATAAGGTTTCCAGGTAATCCAGTGAAGATTATTTGAATTGTTTCAGCCTCATCAAACTGTTAGTTGATAGAACACTTGATCCAAACAGTATCTTACCTCACATTAATTAGATTACAACTTTTTAATAACTATTACATCTCATTTATATATTTTTTAAGAAGTATAGAATCCTGTAGCTTTATTTTCAGTCATTGTGATCTAGAATGATAAAATCCTACTTGCATATTTTAATATCTATATTGTGTGAGGATCATCATTCTTTTAATAAAAACAAGGCATTTTTTTTATTTCTTTATAAAATGGAAAATTACTTTGCATTTCTCTAACCAATTTTCTTATCTGCTTTGCAGTTTTTTCGGACAATCCGTCATGCAGTAGCACGCAAGAATCTAGCCATGAAAACACTTATAGATGAGCGATTTCTCCTGTAAAATGTGCATCTGTGAGGAATGCATTCATAGGCCACCTAATACCAGGAATTAGTGTAACCAACTTCTATTATTTGATCTAATTCTCACCTTTGATTACCAAACGTTCCCAATTACTATGACGAGTTCTCAATAACTGTTAAGTGTTAAAGTAGTTGCAATATTGTATATCTTATTTACTAGGTTATTGTGCAGTGTTATTTATGTTTGCCACTTTCATTAGTTATAGACTTTTTTTTCCCCATTGTATTTTTAATTTCTTTACCTGTTTTCAGTTCTTACACCAATCACTATTCCTCAATCAAGGGGAAGAATGGTTGAACATTGTTTTAAAGCTTCTGTGAATATTGTTCCATGACTAGCAATTAAAGAATGATCCGGAGTGCTGGGCTCCATTTCCTAAAGAGAAGAGCTTAGCTTCTGTCAATGCTGCTCCTAAAATGGTAACAACAACTCAATAGGGTATGTAAAAAGGACTCTCGTGTCAAAACCATTGATAAACATGCTTGTGTTGTTTAAATTTATAACTTTTCTTCTGTTCTCTGTTAAAGTTTTTATACACATTTAATATATATCTTCTGAAAAACTATTATATGTTTTATTGTACACAAACACAGTAAAGTGAATGGTGATATTAACATGGTAAAGCACTCAAGGGTTGAAGTTCTGGGCGACAAACTTCCAGTATGTTCAACTCTTTTTTTGGCAAAATTATTAGCTTATGAAACCTGTTCCTCCAGACGTTTGCTATCAAATAACATGATGATATTTTCAATCAGCTATTATGGTTCAAATGTGGCACAAGGCACATACGTAAGAAGAGAACAGTACAAGCTATTACCAGGGAAAGTTTTACTAAGGATATAGTGTTTGACATTAGATACCTACTAAATTCTGTGGATTAAAGAATGCTGGAAATCACCCACAGTGTCATGGTCAATCGACACAGAGGTGGAAAGCCTACCTGATACATTGCTCAACAAGAAAGCCTGTAATAAACATGATTGCCACAGCACAGTATGATTGTACTGTACCTAATTGATAGTGGTACTGGGGGTCCAGAATGGGGAAAAAAGCACTGAAGCAAACTCTGAACCACCAAAGATATCTCTATCCAGCTCTGAGGTGCATGAAAAAATATATGTAGATCAACATCACATATACTACATTGAAGCGTCTCAAAGCATTTCATAATCATTATTGTCAAGTACAGTAACCCTGCTTGTAGACCAATGTCTCTCTTTGTCTGTGAGTGTGTCTCTCTCTGTCTGTGTGTGTATCTCACTCTATCTGTGTGTGTCTCTCTCTGATTGAGTGTGTGTCTCTGTCTGAGTATGTGTCTCTCTCTATGTCTCTGAGTGTTTGTATCTCTCTGGCTGTGTGTGTCTCTCTGTGTCTGTGAGCGTGTGTCTCACTCTGTGAGTGTGTCTCTGAGTGTGTTTCTCTGAGTGTGTGTATCTCTCTGTCTGAGTGTGTCTCTCTGTGAGTGTGTGTCTCTCTCTTAGTGAGTGTATGTCTCTCTGTGTCTCTGAGTGTGTGGCTCTGTCTGAGTGTGTCTCTCTGTGAGTTTGTGTCTCTCTCTGAGTGTGTCTCTGTCTGAGTGGGTGTTTCTCTCTGTCTGTGTGAGTGTGTCTCTCTGTGTGTGAGTATGTGTGTCTCTCTGTCTGTGTGTGTCAGTGTGTGTGTCTCTGTCTGTGTGTGTGTCTCTGTGAGTGTGTGTGTCTCTTTGTCAGTGTGTCTCTCTGCATGTGTGTGTGACTCTCTTTGTGTCTGTGAGTGTGTGTGTCTCTGTGTCTGTGTGTGTCAGTGTGTGTGTCTCTGTGTCTGTCCGTGTGTGTGCCTCTCTATGTCTGTCAATGTGTGTGTGTCTCTCTTGAGATTGTGTCTGTAAATGTGTGTCTCTGATAATGTGTCTGTGAGTGTGTGTCTCTCTCTCCCTGAGAATATGTCTGTGAGTGTGTGTGTCTCTCTGTGCGAATGTGTCTTTGAGTGTGTGTGTCTCTGAGATTGTGTCTGTGAGTGTGTTTCTCTGAGAATGTGTCTGTGAGTGTGTCTCTCTCTCTGTGCGAATGTGTCTTTGAGTGTGTGTGTCTCTGAGAATGTGTCTGTGAGTGTGCGTCTCTCTCTCTACGAATGTGTCTGTGAGTGTGTATCTGTGTGAGGGTGTGTGTATGTGTGTGTGTCTCTCTCTGAGATTGTATCTGTCAGTGTGTGTGTCTCTCTGAGCATGTGTGCGAATGTGTGTGTTTCTGTGTCTATGAGTGTGTGTGTCTCTGAGAATGTGCCTGTGAGTATTTCTCTCTCTGAGAATGTGTCGGTGAGTGTGTCCCTCTTTGAGAATGTGTCTGTCTATGTGAGTGTGTGTCTGTGTCTATGAGTGTATGTGTGTGTCTCTCTCTCAGAACGTGTCTCTGTGTCTGTGAGTGTCTTTCTCTGGGTCCATGTGAGTTGGGGGGTCTTGAGAGGCAGGAGGTGGTGAGCTCCTGTAGTCCCCCCCTACCCCCCTCCAAAATAAAATGGTCACCCAGTTTTTGTTTAAGAAGAAATTTATATATTTTTTGCAACAATCTAATATGTGATATTTTCTCACATTTAGTCTTTAAGTGAGAAAATGTAGTGGGAAAATGCACCACAATAGCACCAATCAACGGCCCGCAATTTTCTGCAAAATCTGCCAAAAACTCTTCACAATTTTTCGCAAACATTTCTGCACTTTTCTGTTGGCCCAGGTTATGAGGTGGATAAACATTAGGATTATTAGATGGGGAGAGGACGGAGAAAGAGATGGAAACAGAGAAAGACAAATATGAAACTGAGACAGAAAAAAGGGAGCTAAATAAAGAATTACTGTACTACAAAATACTGCACTGATTTGGTTAGACTTCTTTTCCTAACTCTTTTTCACTGGTTGGGAACTACCAGCCTGGGATTGATTGTAGTTGTATTTGTAACACAGTACTGGCAGATGTAATCACAAAGATATTTTGAATAAATTTGCATGAAATGAACAATCTTCATTTGTAATGAAAAACAAAATTGAAATTAGTTAATTTATGTCATGGGAAGCCTGAACTTAACATCTTAATAAATCCCTGGTTAATAGGCTGTCCTGTCAGGAAGCAGTAAATACAGAAGATCATAAATATCAGATTAAATCTACAGTTTCCATGAATCACCCACTTGCCACTGATTGCTTAACGTTCAACAAATATGTTGCAGTCACTTCAAATATGTTACTGGCACCTATTTGGTACACAGAAAATAAATTGGCCATTGATCATACCAGCAAGTAGTCACTATTCATCAATTTTCTTCTTCATTATTAAGCAAACATTTCATTTTTTTCCTCATTTACCTTCAATGGAAGATATTTCTTTGATCTGCTAAAACTGGTGTACTGATTTAGCAATAACACAAGGGGGCGATCATGTCCCTTGTTAATATAGAACTGAAATCAAACTCCAATTTGAATCTTTATAGCACTCACAATATTGATATATCTCAAAGTGTTTTACAAATAATTGTCAAGTGTGATTTCAGGTAATTTTAGGTGAATGTGGCAACTAATTTGAGCACATCAATGTCCCCAAAACAGCCATGAAGAGAATGATTAATTTATCGGACTCGGAGGATTGTTGGCCCTGACACTGGGAGAAACTCAGATACTGGTCAAATACTGTAGTAATAATAATAATAATACTGTAGTATTGTGAGATCTTTAACGTTCAGGAGGAAGGATTGTAGTTCATTTCAAATAATTATAATCGTATACCCAGGTAGTTCTAGAAGAGCACCAGGAAGGGCCTGGAGGTAGAATATAGAATCATAGAATCATACCACACCGAAGTGGCCATTCAGCCCAGATAAACTATGGAAAGAGTTTATCTGAGGGTAGTGAGATTAACAATATTACATCCCCCCTCCACACACACACACACACCATGACACATGCAGGTCTTTGGTCCACTGATCTTCCTTTCATTGCTGTATTCCCTTCCTCCCTTCCCACATATTCACTTTTATAATCATGTTGAAAATAAATATATAAATTAAATGTTGAGGCCTGAATGATTGTGAGCCCCAACCAGTGTGGGGTGCAGGGATTAGGAAGATCCCAGGTCGCCATTGTGGCCCATTACAATTATTATTGGTATAACTGAACTAAAGAAGCGGAACGGAAGAGAGAAACAAGCAGGGTTTCAACTCCTAATCACTATCTAGTAATTTGTGCTGGACGGTGAATGTTCATGGACATCCAATGAGGTTGGTTAGGGTTTGGTTGTGATACCCTCTGTGGTTGTCAAATGGAATAACTCTCAAGTCATGGCACATACATGAAGAATGACCACCCATAAGGTCCTCCAATAGGTATTGGATAAATACACCATCATTAGACCCAGCAGATTCTAATTCGGCAGGTTCAAATCCCAGCTTTACTGATTACTTGAATTCAACCCAGGACAATCAATTGTGGATTGAGTGTCCAAATTATTATTATTTTTTGAAGATATTATTACCCCGGAAAACGATCCGCAAATTGACTAAGAACCAGGTTCCCACTTACTGCTTGGTAAACATAGGAGTGTAGAGTAAGGAAACGTGCCTAAGGTTTCACTCTACCTGGGAATCGAACCTGGTATAAGGTTTGAATAAGTTTGTGACCCTGCAGTGAAGTATGAAGGTGAAATTTTCTTTGATCAATTTAAGACAATCCGGAATTCTGGGATTGCTTACACTGGGTCCTTTTGCATTAATTTACATTTTAATTTACAGATGGGCCAATCTAATTATCGTAATGTTCTCTGGTTAAGGAATGGAAAATCAGATAAGGTTTCCACTCCCAAGGCTTTACATTTCTTGTGGTCTTACTCTTAAATTCAGTCTTACTCTTAAAAATGTTTCATGATTGTGACTGAATTTAGCAATGCTCCACAGTTCTGCACATCTTCAATTTTGAGTTTAAATGGCCTTGAAGCCTGACTAGGTCTCAAGACCTACCTCCTTTCTATTGTTCAGCAGCCAAATTGGGCTTGGACGTGGGTACAGGGAGTACAATTTCCAAGTTTGCAGATGATACTAAGCTGGGAAAAGTAGGGAGCTATGAGAATGATTGTAACAGACTGCAAGAGCACATAAATAGACTGGAAAAATGGGCAGACACGTGGCAGATGATGTTTAATGTGGAGAAATGCGAAGCAATGCATTTTGGGAGGAAGAATGAGGAGAGGCAATAAAAGCTGATGGCAGAATCTTAAAGGGGGTGAAGGAACAGAGAGACCTGAGGGCTCATATAAGTAAATCTTTGAAGGTGGCAGGACAGGTAGATAAAGCTGTTAAAAAAGCATACGGGATACTAGGCTTTATAAATAGGGGCATAGAATACAAAAGTCAGGAAGTTATGATGAACCATTATAAAACACTGGTTTGGCCTCAGTTAGAGTACTGTGTTCAGTTTTGGGCACTGCACTTTAGGAAGGATGTCAAGGCATTGGGGAGGGTGCAAAGGAGATTTACCAGAATGGTACCAGGAATGAGGGACTTCAGTTATGAGGAGAGGTTAGAGAAGCTAGGATTATTCTCCTTGGAGCAGAGAAGGTTAAGAGGAGACTTACTAGAAGTTTTCAAAATTATGAGGGGATTAGAGGGTGAACAAGGAGAAACTATTTCCACTGGCGGGTGGGTTGGTAACCCAAGGACACCGATTTAAAATAGTTGTTAAAAGAAACAGAGGGGAGGTGAGGAGAGATTTTTTCACACAGCGAGTTGTTCAGATCTGGAATGCATTACCTGAAAGGGTGGTGGAAGCCAATTCGATAACAACTTTTAAGAAAGAAGTAAATAATTATTTGTGGAGGACACGTTTGCAGGGCTATGGGGAGAGAGCGGGGGAGTGGGATTGAATTGGATCGCTCTTTTAAAAGAGCTGGCACAGACACGATGGGCCAAATGGCCTCCTTTTGTGCTATATAATTCTATGATTCTATGATATGAACTCAGCTACTATGAAGCGCTCCGAGACACTCTCCTGGGTGAAGGGCACTATATAAACACAAGTTATTTTTGTCAGTGGAATCCCAGGCTTCTGATCACTGTCTAGCAAACCTTGTGGCAGGATTCCATGTGTAGACATTAGGTGAAGACAGGATCACGTTTGGCTGTGATTCCGACTCTGCCCATGAAAATGCTTACAAC